TGTTTTTAAAACTTGGATGACAATCATTTGCGACTAGTCACTGACATTGACATCGTCAAATGTTCTGCTTCCTCCCTTGAGATGCTTTGCCAGGTCTTTACTGCAGCCACTTTCAGTTGCTGCTTGTTTGTGAGTCTTTCTGCATTCAGTTTTGTCTTCAGTAACTGAAAAGCAGCTGTACTGGGCTGAGATCAGGTGACTGACTTGGCCACTGAAGATTCACATTTCTTTGCCTTGAGAAACTCTTGGGTTTCTGTAGTTTGCTTTGACTCGTTATCCAGTTGCACTGTGAAGCACTGTCTGCTCAGTTTTGGGGTATTTGGCTGAATACACACATACATCCCCTTGACATGACACTGCCCCCATACATTATTCACTGTTTAATGAATGTACAAGTTAATCTTGATTTCATCTGTCCAAAGAATTTTTTTTCCACCCTGCAGACTCTGATCTTCCTGTTTTTTGGGTGTAACCATGGTTTGAGCCCTCTGTATTCCCATTCATGAATTTGATTCAGTTCAATGAAATGTTATTATGTAGCACTAATAGAGCGAAACCCCAACAATCAAACAACCCACTTTGAGTAGGCACTCGGTGACAGTGGGAAGGAAAAACTTCCTTTTAACAGGAAGAAACCTCCGGCAAAACTAGGCTCTGGGATGGACAGATTGTTCATTAAAATTAGGAGAATCTTGTGTTCAAGTTCTTGACTGCCTTGAAGTTTTGTTATTTATATTTCTGTATTATATATCTGTATTTATGACTATTGTTTGATTATGTGAGTTTCCCTTTCATGTCCAGTCTGTTCTCACCTCTCTGTCTTGCCATCATCATCTACTGCTGAAGTCTCTCTGCTCTCTGTGTGTTCTGCCTCTGTGGTTGCCTGGTTTCTCTGTCTTTTCATGTTAATAAATCTGTTGTCCTGGTCCCTGTGTTTATCCCTTAATTTTCCTGTTATAATCTATGTTTTATCCTTTTGTCAGTCATATCTTCATGTCTGTTTGTCAAGTTGTCTTGGTCTGGACTCAGTGTGTGTTATTTCTTGTTTTATTTTGATAGTCTCCTGTCTCATGTGGTTGATGTTCAGTTTTGCTTCCCTTGTCTCGTCTGGTATGACACAGCGGATCCTCTCTGATCCCAGCCACCGCAGCCACGGACTTTTCACACTCCTGCCGTCCAGCAGGTGGTTTAGCAGCATTCAGACTTGCACTAGCAGACACAGAGATAGTTTCTACCCACAAGCCACCAGGCTTTTGAACTGGTGACATTCTGCGCACACCATTACACACTCACTACTCTGCACACTGTCACCTCAACAAATGCCACTTAAATGCTCATTGCACAGGTTTTTGCACAAACTGTAAATACCAACAATTGTCTTAAATTCTCTAAATATTTAATACTTTATTATTTTGTTTGTTCATTTTTTTCTTTATCATTGTTATTATTATCATCATTATTATTAGTATTATCATTATTACTGTTCCTTTCTTGTTATTTTCTTCTTAAATATAACTGCACACTTTCTATATGCTCATGTAAAGCTGAGGAGCACGAGCCAAAGAATTTCATTATGGGTAAATGTGGCTACACTGTTTATCTGTATATGACAATATACGTGTATATCGTCTGTGTCTCCCTCTATTCTTTCTCGTGTCCTCCCTCATGCTGTATGAGTTTTATGCCGTCTGCTTAGCCTCAAGTCAGTTTGTTCCTGTTCAGCTCAGATATTGTTTTTGGTTTTTGCTTCCTGCCCAGTTTTACCAGTGTTAAAACGAAGCTGCGGTTTTGAGTTACGTCAGTCTGCTAAGTCCTGCATCTGGGTCAACACTCTGTTTGCCACACACCCATTCACATGACATTACAGGGTTAATTTGTTATGAAATGATAAAGGAACAGGCTATTCCTGAACATTAAACTGCGTGTCTTCTCCTGACCAAGTACTTCTTATGTATAACACACCTTGAATTTAAACATCTGCGCTTCATGGTATCTTGATAGTTTAATTTAAAATCCACATGGTGGTGTGCAGAGCTAAAAATCACAACACTTGTGTTCAATAACTTATGGACCTATCTGTAAATATAAGCAATAAAGTATACTATCTACTAGGTTTACTGCTTCAGTTTTCTTCAGCACACATAAACAGTTGGTATTGCTGACATAATCATTAAATAATGAGACACTACTGAGTAACAACCATGTTTCACTAAATGATCCAGAAAAAATGAAGCAGATAAAAGAGTTCATCTAGAACTATGCATGAACAAATATTATCTATGATTCACTGAACATATCTTCCAGTTGGTTCTCCAGTTAAAAAAAAAGAATAGAAAAGAAAAACACAGCATACTGCACAGTTTATATGGAAGTACTGAAGCACTCATTATCTACTAGGATGTCCTTTATTCATTTTTAGTTCCCAGTTGTACCTACTGTAAAGTGATACTGTAGTCAGGTGTTTTTGTAGCTGCCACTTATAACAGTCTATATACTCTATATCATGTAACTCCATAATTACATGATAGAAATAAGAAAAAGTGTCAAACAAAACAGGAATACATTGTTGGCGTGTATTCTGCATCCCTTTAAAGCATTGGGAAAACACATTCAAGTGATAATATCTCAAACAGGAAATCTGGGGGGGCTCAAATACACAGTGGGCCAAAATTCTAAACTGGAACAAAGTCGCGGGCTAACGTTAATATTTATTGAAATATATTTATTCCTCCAGATATAAGAATGAATCTTTTCTCATGGACTCAAACACGTTTTGCTGAAAAACTGAATATGGAACAAGCAAAGCTTAATACTAAACAATATATATATTAGCTGTATAATACCAGTAGGCCAGCTCTAATAGTAATTTGGTATGGCTTCGCGGGCCAAATGTAATTAGGCTGCGGGCCAAATTTGGCCCGCGGGCCAGAGTTTGACACCTATGTTCTAGCGGCTCCTCTTATGCCCTGCATGAATGGAGACAACATGACGTCATGCGACTTTGTCTGTGTTAGGGGGTGGGGAGCAACCTCAGCCTCCTCTCCTGCACTGAATCTGTCACAGTGTAGAGAGACAGGAGGAACCATGAGGGCCTTTTTATAATATACATTCTCAGCTCCAGCTCCCCTTTCAGTGTAAAAAATGCATTTGTGTTGTCTGACGAATAAATCTGGCATGGTGCTTACATAATGAAGAATAATTAGTTTAAGCTGCAGCATTCGAGGCTGCCTTTGGTGGCTCTGCCAGATGTATCAAGGACTGGTAGCAGGCCAAAGACAGTCAGTGTTATTCTGCTGAAAGCCTCTTCCTGCAGTCTGCCAGGTAGGTTATGAGCTATTTGATTTTGCGCACCAATTTTATCACACGTTTTGTCATCGATGTTGTATGTTATACCTTGTGATTAGCTTGTCATTGGTATGTTATTTCTGTGCTTTGCTGTGTGGGCTAGAAGAATCATCAGATCAGGATGATTGAGCTCATGTCTGCAGATGTGAAAAAGGAGCCATCGTCCTTTAGATTGCAGTCACACCTCATGAATATTTTGTGTGCCGTTAAAAGCTGGGCAGCTGTTTGACCATCAATGCCAGTGCTTTAATGTTTAACAACAGAAATGCAGGCAAGAGTCTCGGTGGCGGCGGCACACAGACCGACAGTTGGGCCTAAACAGAGGCCTGGGCTATTTATACATTTTGTTTCTGTGTGTTATGTATCACTGGGAAAAAAATGTGCAGGATCAGAACATGGACATCAGCGGTGATCCTGTGTTAACATCATTTATTGACTTATATTTGTGTTCTGTAGCGTAAATATATGAACACGGTGCACAAAATCAGACCCTTATTATACGCTCGCGCTCATTTCCTTTTCCTCCATTTCCTCTCCGCCTCCCCCACCTCCCTGTGTTTTTGCCTCCCTCCCTCGCTCTCTTCTTTCTCTGCACCAGCTGCTGCTGTTTCAGAGCCAAAGTGGAGAGTCCTCTCACCACCTCCCCCCACCCCACCCCTGCACGGGCAGAGACAAAAGGCCTGGTTCGCCTGCTGAATACTGCCCCCTTTCTCCATCCGTCCCTTCATGCACGGCCGTAGTGGTGGTGGCGAGGGGTTCAGGATAATACGAGGCCTGGGCTGGGACTGAAAGCTAGGACTGACCCAGGGAAGGAGAGTGGGAGGTGGGGGAAGGGAGGGCTGAGTATGGAGGATGGAAGCTGAAGTGGTTGGGGCTGAGTAAGGGCAGGTGCTGAGGCCTCCAAAGGAAGACTTTTTTTCCACTCAATATCTCTCAGAGTGGGAAAAAAAATCTGAGAAGGGTATGCCAAGTTTACCTTTTCATATGTACATATATATATGCATGACAGTGCATGTCTATGTCCCTGTGCGTCTCTGTGGGTGTGTCTGTGGTGTAGTGGCCTGTTTGCCCATGTTTACTTTTGTTTACACTTCCTGTCATTATATCACAGTGATAGGAAAAATTCTGTTAGGGGCCACATCAAAGTCTTCAGTTTTCAGAGGGGTTGCTATCATGATTGGGGGTAAAGTACTGAGGGATGGGTCTGAGGAACAGGCCAAGGTTGCAGTATAAGATTTGGCTACTATCCTTATTGTTTAAACTTCCTTCTTCTTCTCAGTGCATTAGTAAGCAGCTATCATAAAGACTCATTTGGATGTCATTTTACCATTTAAATCTTGTTGGCATCTATTACTTTTTTATTCCAACATCTGTGTTCAAACCAATCATCATATTCTTCTCCATTATTTGTATTTTTTGGCTTGATTTCAAAGCTGTGCAAGCAACCAGACTAGTGTCCACCTGTGAAATGGTAATAGCTCAATCCTTGTTCTTTTATAAAATCTTTGACAATATGGACCTGGTTTAGTGAGAATTGTTGCAGTGCTTCCTGGGAGGTGAGCACACTGCTTCTGTCTGCAGCAGAAGGCTTTTATGCTGGGTGACCGGAACCAGCTGAAACCGGTTTGAGGCAGTCAGAGTGCTCACAGGAACAATGCTGTCTCTGTGCTCCATGGGGATAGAGATAGCCTAGGCTGCTTCATGGCAGACCTTCACAGCTCAACCATAGCACAAGCACAGACCCCGCTTCTCCTGCTAAATGCTGGCTGGATGTCCGAGCGCTAGCGTGCCGAAGCACAGCTCAGTGTGAGGGGAGCAGTGAGACTTGGGAAGGGACGAGTGCTGTGGGACGTGGCTGGCTGGGAGTCTTGAGAATCTGCAGCCTAGATCCTACCTCACACATACACACACATGCATACACATAGGAGCATGCTTTATCTGTTGTCTGTTTACATGTCTGTGTGCTCGAGTGGTGCAGAGAATGACTAAGGACGATTTTTACCAAGACCACTATCACTCACCAGATCGCGGGATGTAACCTGAGCCTGTATTCTGGGCCTTTGCCTGGCTGGGAAGAAACAAGACTTTTTTCTCTTTTTTTTTTCAGGCAGGGTGGGGTGGTGGATGGCTTTTGTGGGTTAGTAGTATTGTGACTTTGTTTGTTTCAGGATGGAAAGAAGGAAGGAAAGAAGGTTTGGCTAGTGGCTGGAGAGGGACGGAGGCAAGAGGGTGAGGAGTTGCTGATTCACTTGCATGTTTCCTCTATTATTTATTAGACTTTAGTACTCTTTTACACATTGTGTCGATTTCAAGTGCTAACAATGCACGTCTATTAAACTGGTGTTGTCAAGATGGGTTCTATGTTGTGTATTTGACATATTTGCCTGCATTTAACCTTCACTTGGTTTCTACGTCAAGCTGTTCTGCCTGTCATGGCTGTGACTAGCTGTTCTTTCCACCAGGCCTTTCTCTCTCTGCTGCAGCTTCACACAGCTCAGCAGCCATTTTTCCCTCACTGCATATGTTTCCTGCCCTCTCCCCCCATAAGATTTCTCCTTTTCTCTGTCATTTCATCACCAGCGAACAATATGGATTACATGGGGAATTCTTTATTTTGCAATCCAAGTCCAGGTTAAAGGATATGGGTCTGTCTGTGGAACTTTGGCTCCTGTAGATTTGGATGAAACAGCAGCACTGATTCAGCTGCACGTACAAGCAGAGCAGCATAGCTGTCCCTTTTGTCCCCAACACTCATAACAGGCTACATTCAGACAGGCCCCATCATAGCTTGTTTAAATTGTTTTTGTAATAAAAATAAAGGCTGATTCCTAAAAAAAAAAGATGTTCAAAACACAAAACATTTCACCTGACTGCCAAGAATATGTTCCTGATTTGTATTTGATTATGATAAACAGACACATAGTGTTCCTGTTTATATTTAAACAAATTATTTAACTAAGCCAATTTATTGTGAACATTTTATTTCATATTATTCAAGACAAAATTTAGCTGAACAGTGCCAACTGAAAAAGGAAAATCATATATACATATATATATAGTTGAGGCATAATACCATAATTCAGCAAATTCTTGACGAGAGCTAAAATTGACATAATTAGCACTGTGGTATACTTTTAGTTTATTTCACTTTATGTTGTAATGATGTAATAAAGTACTGAGCATGTAGATATTTAAGAGGAGAAATATTATTATTGTTTAATGTATTAATTTATTTAATAACAAAGTGCTTTTAATGTCATCACAGCTTCACATCTACACACTATGTGGATGGTGCAACCTGGTGTACCTGTCTAAAACTAGTCAGTGAACTTACTAAGTTATGACAGAAATAGGACTGAATTCTACATATTTATATTTAATGTATGAAGCAAACAAAAATATAAATGAAACACATTTTCTTCCGTATCCAATTTTTTAAGACCAGCTTCATGCCATCATCGTAAGACTGACCTGATCAGAATTCTTGTACACTTGCACACTCTTGTAAACAGAACAATTACAATAGCGTTAAAGGTTGTAGCTCCCAAGACCAGCATAATAAAATGTTTTGATACTTTTGTCTTTCCAGGGTGATCACCTCACTGGAACAGGAGCAGGAATATGGGAGATATGAAGACGCCTGACTTTGATGACCTGCTGGCGGCCTTTGACATCCCTGACATGGTGGATCCTAAAGCCGCTATTGAATCTGGCCACCAAGATGACCATGATGGACAGCTCAAGCAAACCAGTGGTGGTGTGACTAACAGTGAGAATGAGGCCCAACACCCCTCAGCAGCACATGATGTCGGTGTTAGTGTCATTGTGAAGAACACACAAAACCTAGACACAAGTGAACATTGTGGGACTGAATCAGAGAGGGGTAGGCATTTCCACTCCCATTCCCGACTCCCTTCTGTTCACAATGGACTTCATAATATTTTGGTGTCCACAATACCAACTGGGGCTCAATACACGAAGAATGGATGTAAAATTCCCAGAGAGGAAGGCCAGAAAATGAACAATGAATCATGTACCTTCAATCAGTTTAGCCCAATTTCCAGCACAGAAGAGTTTGATGATGATGAGAAAATTGAGGTAGAAGACCCAGGAGACAAGCAGGGAGGTCACACAACTAGGAAAGGGGAGCGGAACTCCAAATCTGCTAAACGGGAAAGTCTTTCCAAGCCCAAAACAAATGGAGACCAAAAGCCTGATCTTAACAACAATAACAGTGGTACTTTTAGAAGTTGTAAGTTCAAGAATCTCTCTCAGTCAACTTTACCTGAAGGGAAACTTGAGGAAACAATGCCCAAGTCTCATAGCAAAGAGTGCCAAGAAGGTGGGCAGTCATCGGGACTTGGTAATCCATCCAGCCTTTCACAAGTCAAATCCAAATCCTCAACAAAACTTTCATCTTGTATAGCAGCCATAGCTGCTCTAAGTGCCAAAAAAGGTGGTGCTGAAGACTTAGGTACTTTGAATTCTCCTACAACACAACAAGAACCAGCACTGGTCAAAGAAAATTCAAGAGTCCCAGAGAAGCCACAGGATCAGGAATCAGCCATGGAGATTGCAAAGAGACTGCTTACAAGACAACCAGACAGCCCCTCTAGTGTGACTAGTGAACGCAGCAGCAAAGGTTCCCCTGCCTCAAACACAGACACCACCCCAGTTATCCCAAAGGTCAGGATCAAAACAATCAAAACCTCAACTGGACAGATCAAGCGTACAGTGACCCGAATCCTTCCAGAATTTGATCCTGAGGGTCTGAAAAAGAGAGAGAAAAGCACATCTGTTATGACAACCACTAATCCTAGTGCAATTTTTTCATCTCCAACAAGACATTGCCTTCCAACCACAGTATTAACCACCACAGGGGGACCTTCAATTGAAATAACCAAGCAAATGACAATTAAACCTGTTGCAACAGCATTCCTGCCAGTCTCAGCAGTCAAGACAGCTGGTTCCCAAGTTATCAACCTTAAGCTGGCTAACAACACAACAGTTAAAGCAACAGTCATCCCTGCTGCATCAGTACAAAGTGCCAGCAGTGCTATCTTGAAAGCTGCTAATGCCATCCAACAACAGACTGTCATGGTACCTGCCTCTAGTCTGGCAAATGCCAAACTTGTGCCAAAGACAGTCCATCTTAGTAACCTCAGCCTTCTGCCTCATACAGTGTCCTCTGCTACCTGTGATCTCAAACACACCTTGTCCAAACAGCCCCAACATCAGCAATCACAGCAAGCAAAACAGCAGACAATTCTCGCCAGTCAGCAGTCAAAGAAAGTCTCTAGAGTTCAACTGTTCACTAGTTCTCAAAGCTCTGTGGTGGATGCCTTCAATAAAGTCCTGAGTAGCATGAATCCTGTCCCTGTGTACATCCCAAACCTCTCCCCACCAACCTCAGCCTGTATCTCTCTACCCTCACTTGGCTACAAGTGCTTGGAGTGTGGAGATTCATTTGCTCTTGAGAAGAGCCTGACACAGCACTACGAGCGCCGCAGTGTGCGGATCGAGGTCACCTGCAACCACTGTGCCAAAAGTATAGTGTTCTATAACAAATGCAGCCTCTTGTCTCATGCTAGGGGTCACAAAGACAAAGGGGTGGTTATGCAGTGTTCACACCTAATCCTAAAACCCATCCCTGCAGATCAGATGATTGGTACATCAGCTGCAGGACCACACAGCGTTAATGGCACCACCACTACCACTCAAGCACATGCACCTGCGGGTCAAATGCAAGACAAGGTATCTGGTGCTGGGAACCAACCTGCAGTGATTTCAGCTCCAAGCAGTGCACCTGTTGTAGCAGCCATGCCGTTGGAGGATGACGCATCAAAGCTCTGCAGGCACAGCTTAAAATGCTTGGAGTGTAACGAAATGTTCCAGGATGACAACTCACTAGCAATGCACTATCAACAAGCATCGGAGCCCCGAAGTCAGGTGTGTATGTAATGCGTAAATCACCACAGGATATGAGGGAAGCTATTTTTGCCAACTCCGGTCAATTTGACAAAATCTCTACAAAAGCCGCAGAAAATACCATGCTATGAAAACACAAGGCATTCTATATAAAGGGTAGAGTGTATAGTTGACTGTAAATGCCAAGATACATGTAAGGAAGAAATATAAAAATAATTTAATCTGCAGTATATATTAATTTGCATTAATAATATTTTAGTTAAATAACATGATGTATTCTGGAAGCAGTTTTTTAAACATAGTAGGGGAAAACAGTCAATTTTTTAATGTCTTTTCTTTATCCCATAGAAAACATGCACCATTTGCCAAATGCTTCTCCCAAATCAGTGCAGCTTTTTGTCACACCAGCGGATCCACCAGCACAAATCACCTTACATCTGCCCTGAGTGTGGTGCCAGTTGTCGCTCTGTCCACTTCCAGTCACATGTGACCAAAAACTGCCTGCATTACACTCGGAGAGTCGGCTACTGGTGCGTTAGAACTTTATAAACTTGTATTTTTGTCTTCTGTTATGCGACATAGTTTTTTTTTTTTCAAAACATGTGCTATTGAGACCCACATGTTTATATGCATAGTGATTAAAATATGAAGCCACGTTGCACCATGATTTTCTGAAAGTGGCCATACACAGAATAAAATGTCTCTTGTTCTTGCTTTCCATTCAAAGTGGCACTTACAGTGTCATTTCTAATTACAGTTATTAAAACATCTGCAGCTTGACAATCCCATATCCCCAAAAGTGATATTATTCACAACAAAGATTACTGAGAAAAAATTGGACTGTCGCAGTTGGAGTCACCCAAGTTACATGCCATTAAAAATGAAAGTTTGTCTTTGAGTAATTACAGTTCAATTATGACCCTGGTCAATCAAATTGTTATTAAAAGAACAGTTGGCCATGAAGGTAAAATCTGCAACGATATAATACATTTTATTACATTCTTGGCCTCTTGATGATATTTTTACAGTTGATATGACTTGTAATTGCTTATCAATTAAGAGTGCTATCAACTTCATAGACATGACACTATGTGCAAATGCATTTTCAGAACATTTCAATTTTAACTTAAATTCATAAATCAGCTCAATATACAAAAAAATTACTTTTATCCCCAAGACCAGAGGTTAACAATCCAAAAATATAAATGTATTTTCTATTTCTACTTCAATTAGTACTGTAAAAGGTGATTATAGAGATTTGTCAGGCTGGTCATTTCCCGCTGTTTCCACATACTAGTTATAGCTTCAGTCACACATGCATAGAGACCAGTTGCTAACCTCATGTTGACCTCTGGACCCTGGGTTAAAGTTTGAAATCACAAGGTTTTCAGCTCAGCATATATTCTTCCAATTTCACTTTACAACTGTCCCACATCTCAGTTGCTCACAGAATACACACTTTTACTGATGGCTGCCTGGTGGTCCTGGCAACCTGTCTCTAGTCCAGCAGAAATGGGGCTTCAGCTATTGATTTCACATCAACTGCCAGCAACTGCTTTTTTCCCCTCATGACTAATGGTTGCTAAATGGTTGCCAGCCAGTCTTTAGGCCTTTGTGACTGGGGCCTAAGTTAACTATCGTGTATTTTAATATGCAATATAAAACTGGTATTGGTCTTTATATTTAACTCCTAAAACACATTTATGCATATTTATTCATATATTTTACTATAAACTCAAGAATCAGGTCCAAGTTTGACACGAGTCTTTTGCAGACTAAGGTGCTAGACTTTTGATGGCACAAAGTCAATGACCATTTTGAATTCATATCAACAAAGTTTCTGTTAGGAGAATCTGCTGAATTGATTCATAAAATGTAATTTGAGTCAATATCTTACCTGTTCTTCCTTTCTCCATTCTTTGTCCCTCCAGCTGTATCCACTGTAGTGTGATCTTTGCTGATGTCACAACTCTAAAGTCCCACATACAAAGTGCTCACTGTGAGGTCTTCTTTAAATGTCCTCTCTGTCCCATGGCCTTCAAGTCTGCACCGGGAACACACTCACATGCATATACACAGCATCCAGGACTGAAGGCAGGCGAGCCCAAGTAGGTCTCCACATGCTGTATCTATTATCTTTTACAAAAATATGTAAAATAGAACCTAATTCTGAAAATATTTTTGCAAAAATACAATCATTTGCAAATCACATAAGCCCATATTTTATTCATAATAGAACACAAAAAAATGTATCAAATATTTTAACTGACAAAATGTACAATTTTAAGAAAAACATTATTTTATTTTGAATTTGATGGCAACAACACATCCAAAAAACTCGGGACACAGCCAAGTTTAACACTTTGTAGAATTACCACTTCTTTTAACAACTATCTAAAAATATCTGGGAACTGAGAAGACAGTTCTGGGTCTTCTTTGTCTTATTTTTAACTTCATGATGTGGCAAATGTTTTTAGTTTGTTAAAGGTCTGGACTGCAGACAGGTCTATTCAGCATCCAGACTCTTCTACTATGAATCCACACTGTTGTGCATTAGTGCTAATTCCATAGGCACTAATGCATACTATCAGAGATGCGCTGCCAATCAATGGCATCCTCTCCTCTGCAGCATCCATGTTTTCCAATAAGAGTTTTAAGTCCATTGTAAATGAGCAGTGTAGTCTGACAACCTGAAGATTGCAGACATGCAGTATTGAGGTTCAGCTTTGTACTTTGTGCACAGATATTTCTCCAGATTCTCAGAATATTTGATCATATTATGTACTGTAAATACTAAGATATTCAAATGCCTTTACAATTTTACATTGAGAAACATTAATTAATTCTAAAACTGCTTCACAATTTGTATTTTTTGCAAATAGGTGAACCCCTGTCAGTCTTCTGACAAACTATGCCTCTATAAAATACTTCTTTATACCAAATAATGTTACCAATTTGTTACCTAAATGGTTACAAGATACTCCTCCAGCTTTTTGTTTTAAGGGTTAGGCTTTTCCAGTCTTTTGTTCCCAATGTTGCTGCCATCAAATTCAAAATGAGCCAATATTTATCATGTATTTCCATTTCACACAGATTCCTAACATTTTCAGAGCTGGGTTTTCAAATTAATCTCAGTTATATACCCATATAATAATTGTTTTCATGGTTTACTCATCAACATAAATGTATGTAAGCTTTCTTTGACACAGGCACACGTCAATGTAACCCAATACCCACGTCCAATGCCTTTCATTATCTTTGCTGTTTCATCAGTAGTAGGATTTGTGTGTTTTAGATTTGGTGGCTTAGCTTTGGTTTGTTTTTTCCACACAGTAACCTTTCACTTACTTACTTACATCACCCATCATTAACAGTTCTGATGATATATACGCTCAGCAGCAGCTGTCCTTGACCCATTTGGCCTTAATGTCCCTCAAGTTGAATATTTCATGCTACATGTATTGAACTGGCACCAACATTAATTATAAGCATGATGTAAACCCAAAAGTAGCATTTGAACAGCTCCCATCCCTAAATACTTCTCTGTCTGTCTTTCAGGATGATCTATAAATGTTCCATGTGCGATACTGTGTTTACTCTTCAGTCCCTCCTCTACACACACTTTGACCAGCATATAATCAATCATAAAGTTTCAGTGTTTAAATGTCCCGACTGCTCCATGCACTATGCACAAAAACAGCTCATGCTGGATCATATTAAGGTAGGCATAAAAATATATATAGTTTGATTTTTGTGCAATAGGATTAATTTTTGTATGAATATTTTTAACTTGAAACTAAACATTTTACTGTAACTTCCAATTAATCTCATGAGTTGTACTTTAGAAATGTCAGACTGTAGATTTTTTACACTTTGTGTCCACATGGCTCATTTTCAGGCCATACATGGAACCTTGAAGACCACGGAGGGCCCGCCAAACCTGGGGATCAACCTTCCACTGAGCACGAAGCCCACTAATTCTAACAGCACCAACAGCAAGAGCCCCCGTAATAATAACAAAGATGGTAGAAACATCAACGGTCAAAACAAGGGAGAAAAGAAACCTTCAGCTTTGTCAGTAAAGAAAAATAACAGTAACTGTTCAGAAGACTTAAAGAGCCCTCCCAGTTCAGGATACACATGTAAAGACTGCAATAGCCTCTTCAGTTCCAGGGAGCTCTTTGTGGTGCACATGAGGCGAGAACATGGCAAGGTAAATATCTGCCACTCTCATAAGAAAGTTTAAGATTTGCCAAATTATTGTTTTTAAGATTTGCTTAGTGCTGATAAATGAGTTGAGCCAGAAATGGAAAGCATTCACCTTCTTAGTGAAGCACATTGCCACTGCAACCAACATGTTTCAAAAGGGGAAACTTTTAAATTGAAGACAAATGGTCTTCATGGCAGTTACCATTTTCCATGCAAACAACTCCAAACGAGGTTTGAAGTGCAGCATCACATACCTCTTTGCAAGCAGTTTCACCTAGTGACAAAAGGCAACTTCCTGCAACTACATGCCACTGGGTGCAGGACTACACCTTTTTCCCTAGCATCCAGTGGTTACTAGGGGCCACTGACTCTAGGTCAGGTGCTTAGGCAATCAATGCCACAGCAACTGCTAGCAACCACTTGCAGCTGGTAGGGAATACTCATTTTCCCTAGCAAGTGGTGGTTTCCAGGCAGTTGCCAAACAGTCTCTAGGTCTGTATGATTTAGTCCTCAGACGTTCTTCCCTTCCCTCTGCAGATGTTGAAAAAGCACCCCTGTCGACAGTGTGACAAGTCTTTCAGCTCCTCCCACAGCCTTTGCCGACACAATCGTCTCAAACACAAGGGCTTGCGGAAGGTCTACACCTGCCCGTGAGTATCACTTTCTCTGCAACTGTTTGTGTATGCTTACATTTCCTGAGCAAGTCTCACTCTGTAAATGAGCAAAAGTAAGAAATTATTTGTGTCCATGGTCTCCATGACCAACTCACATTTTCTTGTAGGGATTTTACAGGTTTACAAAGTTCAGCATCAGAACAATGCAATGTGCCTTGTACGTAGTAAAGTCTGAAATACGTTTATAATGTGCTTTTACCTTTTTAAATTGTGATTTTACAGGCACTGCCCAGCTCTCAGTCAGCCCTTTACTAAAAGAGTGTTGCTGGATCAGCACATTCAACTGATGCATGGAGTTAAAGATGTAGGAGGAAAGACTCATAACATGGAGGCTTTACCTGACAAAGAAAAGGTACTGTGGTACAATTTTAGAAGGAAATCACTTCTTTGTTTTTTCATGACATCTCTGAGCTAACTTTCACACAATGTCCTTTACAGAGCCTCGGCCCCAAAAGGAAGACAGAAGATGATGAAGGAGATCCAGGGTTGAACTCCAGGGGCACTATCTCGCAGCCACTGAAGAGGCTTAAGGTGAACATCCTCAAAGTTCACAAGTGTGCTGTCTGCAGCTTCACCACTGAAGATTTTGCTGCGTTCCAAGAGCACATTCCTCAGCACAAGTCTGACGGCTCATCTTACCAGTGTCAAGAGTGCGGCCTGTGCTACACCTCCCACCGCTCACTGGCCCGACACCTCTTTATTGTCCACCGGCTGAAGGAGCCTCAAGGCCTTGGCCGATATAACGGACGGAGCAAGGAAGATGAGGAGAGTCAAAGAGAGAACCAGTTCGATGTTACTGATGAGAACAGCGATGGGACACCAAACACTAAATGTAAGGTGTGTGGGAAGATGTTTGAAACAGAGGGAAACCTGAACACTCACATGAGGACACACGGGATGGCATTCATAAAGGCAAAGAGACTAAGTGCAGCGGAAAAGTGAAAGAAAGACACTTTTTACTCATTCCACAATTCAACTTAAACAGCTTGTTAAACCTACAGTACCTCCACTGACTGTGTTTATGTTGTAGGTACATCATGCAAATGCAGTGGTATATAACATGTATACAATACAAACTAAAAAGTATGTGATATACATCAAAGATCATTTAACGTGTCTGAGGAAATTGAACAAAATTTCTGGTAAAGATGTTTCTAAAGCCTTACATAGAACTTTTTTAGAAAGAGCCTTTTATGTGAAATAGTTTCCATAGTTGTCTTCTTGCTAGGACCAGATAATGTATGGACAATATATTCTAATGGGATTAATCCTCATACAGTCAGCAAACTTTCAATGCCCAATGAATGTCTGTCAGAAAAATATATCAAACTGTGGGAAGCTTCAGCTTCCCCATAGCGCAGCTAACTTGATTTGAAATTGTTTTTGAAAATTCACGGATCCCTTTAAGACTTACCTTCTACAAAAAGACCGCACTTCTTATAGCACACCCAGAAGAACATGTGTGCAGTAACTTTGAGCTGGAGTAAAAGTAAATATCAAACAATTCAGGACAATCGGTTAAAGAAGCAGCTTAGTGTCATTTGAATTTTCATAAAGTAAGCTGCTAACATATCAACAAAGTTTGGAATATGGAAACATAAATATGTGACGCAGCATACAAAAGCTAGACGAAGTTTTTTTTTTAATGTTTCCTAAAATTTCACAACTTCTCGATTAACATGCGGAAAAATATATATATTTATTTTTGATTATTTTCTATGAGGTTTAACTTTAGTAAATGATCAAACATTCATTACAAACTTCACGAAGCATACAAGTAACCGTCAGTCGATTACAATTCACAGGCAGACACACACAGACAGAAAAAATATTCAGCATCACTAAGGGGAAAATTTCGTTGAGTATCTGAGTTGCACTCTTATGCCTGAATTACACTTCTGAGGCAAATTTACATAGAGCCTGTGTTTCAGAAGGGTTTATGGTTACAACACACCTGCAGATACAGATTTAACACAGAAGTATAAATCCCCTGTCAGGCATGTGTAGGGTGACCATATTTTGATTTCCAAAAAAGAGGACACTTGGCTCAATCATGGAGAACTTGCTTAAAGAAACATATTTAAACAGCACCTTCTCTGTGCGGTTATTGAATTGTGAAATGAAATATGCCATATTGGCTTTTACAAGTCAACAAGTGCAAAAAAATAACTTAAATGGTACAGATAATAGTATGCCTCATCTGCATAAGAAAAATTACCAGTACTGGGTCGGTACAAGGGAAATTTCTTTTGCAGTTCATCTGAAAAGATGGACTTGCGCTTTGGGATCTTTTAAACATCATTAGGTGCGTTGCTGCGCGCTGACTGTCCCGTCTGTGAGTGCAGAACAAGCGCTCACAAAGCAGCAGTTCGGGGATGACGTCACACACATTCAATTCAATTCAATTCAATTTTACTTTTATAGCGCCAAATCACACGCTTCATAGATACAGAGAAAAGCCCAACAATCATATGACCCCCTATGAGCAAGCACTTTGGCGACAGTGGGAAGGAAAAACTCCCTTTTAACAGGAAGACACCTCCGGCAGAACCAGGCTCAGGGAGGGGCGGCCATCTGCCCACACCCACACATGGGTCCTCTGTCGGAATAGGAAAACCTGGACATTTTTATCAATCACGAAAATTCCCCCGGACAGAAAGTGAAGAGGACATGTCCGGGGAAAAGTCTGGCTGTGCTGTGTTTGATTTGAACTTTACAGCTGAGAGTTTTGATGTGAGGATTTGGGGTAAAATTGTGCATTGTTTATATGCAGTTTATTCATCAGAAGCACTTACAGAATCTGTATTTGTCAGACAACGAGACACGGTGAAGTTAAGATAAACACTGGCGATATCGTAAAGTCCCTTTCCTGTGCTGCGTCACATATGAGTTCAAAGCTCCCAACTTTACTGATCATAAAGTCAAACTTTACTATATCCTTTAAAGACACTTGTGGGCCAATTTTTTTTGGAAGTATTTTATAAAGGATTGTGATATTTTTTTAATTTTTTGTTTCATTACTGTCTTAATATACTGTAACTGGCAGCTCTTTGAGATTACAATTCACTTAAAATGTTTATTTACCTAAATATTGTAAATATGAGACAAAGCACTTGTGTTCCTATGAACAGCAGTCCTCTTTACAGTATATTAGCGTAATTCTAACAAGAGCACATTAACATTAAAATTGTAACGACACTAGAGTATCATTTAATTTTCTGCCTTATTGTGTGGATGTGAATCTTTTCTCATTTCATGGTTCTTCAAGTTATGCGATCATGATGAATGTTCACTGACAGGAATTATACTGAAACAAACTTCTGAGGTATAAGAAAACGTCTATGAATGTACGCTTGGCTGTAAATAGGCGACAGCCAATTCAGTGAAATAAACACTGTTGCTCATTGTTTTCTTTGGTCTCAGCCTTTCCCAAAAGAAAGCCTCACTTTGTTTGTTGTTGTTGTTGTTGTTGTTGTTGTTTTATAATGACAATAAGACTTGAAATGTCTTGCGCTGTAAAACTGCATGCGAGGACCAGTCTGTTGATTAGAATGTGTCTTGCTGCCACTGCTGCCATTTTTAAACATTTCTGATGCTTGTAAACAAAATTGTTCTAAATGTTAATAAATGATGTCTATTACACAGGAGACATCACCTCTTCACTGGGGAAGAAATCCTGTCATGATCATCCTGATGTACCTGATTCTGCTTAATATTACTATTAAGACTAATGTCTAACAGCCAGATTGATATAATTGTACTCAATGATAAAAACAAGTAGCTCCCAGTCCATGAGATAGTAACATGAGGTGAAAAAGAAGGAAACTTTTAGCCACTTTTAGCAGAAATTAGTTTAGGGCAATCATTTTCTGTATGCCTTTATCAGTCTCTCACTTTGTTGTGGAAACATTCTGGCCCACGCTTGTTTCACAGTTCTCTTAAGGTCCCACTACAGCATTTCAATCTGCTTGACATCTCAGGTTTGACTTTGCCATTAAAATAACTTCATTCTTTACTTTTCAGTCCTTCTGCTGTTGATCTGCTGATTTGTTTGGGACCATTGTCCTATTGTGTGACACAGTTTGGGGCAGGCTTTAGGTTTCAGACAGACGCCCTCACATTTGCTTCTAGAATACTTTGGTACACAGAGGAGCTGATGGTCAACTCAGTGACTGTAAGAAGTCCATGTCCTGTGGCTAGAACACAAGCCCAAATCATCACTCCTCCACCACCGTGCCTGATAGTTGATATGGAGTGTTTGTGCTGATTTGCCGAGTTTGGTTTTTGCATCATGTCCAAACATCTCCACTTTGTTCTTGTCTCTCCAAAGGGCATTGTTCCATCAGATGCAAGAGTAAGCTATTCTGCAGTGTTCTTTTTATATAGAGACGGACTTTCTCCGACAGCCCTTCTAAACATACTTTTTTAGTCTTTTTCTAATTGTACTGTCATGAACTTTAACATTTAACATTCTAACTGAGCCTTCTTTTTTGCATGACTATACATGTTACATCATGTTTTTGTTTAAAAATATAAAAATTTCAACAATTTCATCACTTATTTCAACACTAAATCCAGTAGCTATCAATGCAAAAGAATCACTGACATTTAGAAAAGTTTCACTCTGCAGTTCCCCTCGGCTTTTGCTTCATTTTTAGTATGTTGTGGCACTTTGTTATGGTTTGACTTCCTGCTACAAAAATTAAGAAAAACTATTCTTTTACTTTTATTGATTGCCCTCCTTTGATGAAGCCACAAAATGTGTGTTCTGTGACAAGAACACAAAATTGTTATTTTTTAGCCCAGTGTGACAATTCAAAATCCTCTTAATCAGCATGAAAAACATAAAATAAACATAAATAACCACACTGTACTGTTATCTTTTAGAATTAAATAACCCAGTAAGGACTATGAGTATCTTGCAGCTAAAGCCCAGTATTGCATAGCTCTAAAGGTACCAGTTAGCTGCAATGTAAAAACAGAAATAAATGTCTATTATTTATTAAAAACTCTCCTTTTCTCTATAGATTCTAATGCTGCACTGTCAGTGACAAAATGTTTTAATCATGCTATGGAGTAAGTAGTTAAAATAAGTGGTGATTGTAGGGTCTTTTCCTCTTTGTAAGAGACACAGAAGCACTTAAGCACTAAACTACTATTAATAGATCAAAATAGGGTTGCATTCTATTAAATATGTGTAATTTCCAATGCTGTTGCTAGGTAAAAACGAGACAGCCCAAGAATGTTTTATAGGCAATCGCCCCCTCTAGTGGTCAGTTATTTGGAGTGCTGTACTCTGATGGCTGGATGTGGTGTTTCTTCCATCACTAGAGAAAAGTAGAAAATTGTAGTAATAGTTATAACTGAGCAGAGGAATTTTCAAGTAATTACCTTTGTGTCTCTGTGTCTATTTAATGCTATTTAAATGCGTGAATATGTAAAATAAAATTGGTATATAATAAAAATATAACTTAAAAATGTGTGTTTAAATGGTTATGTGGACTGGTCACCCGTCAAAGCTGCACTTTAATAATGTTGTTCTTGCGTAGTGAGAGAAATCACAGCCTGGATTGTTTTGTTAGCCTCTCATCCTCCTTCATGTAACCAAATCCTGTTTACACCTGCTAGTGAAAACCAGTTAAAGTCATTCAATTTAGCCATGGAAGATGAATTTCACAGTACACTCTGAATGGTGATGTGTTCCCTTCTCTGTTATTTAAACACCTTCTTCCCTAAAAAGAAACAGTCAGAGCCAAAATGATCCTCCATTTGGTGGCGTTTCTTCTTTTTGTGGGGGGCAGAGGAGCAGTGGAAAACACACAGACTTTGACAGTGTCCCAAGGATGCTTGGAGGATACAAACACTTTTCTCCGGGAAATTAACCAGGATGAACCAAAGGGCTATGCTGTTCTAAGTAAGTGATTGTGATTTTTGTATGGCATTTCTTATGCGCTTGTGTGGAGTGGGCAAGTGGCATTTAATCCACTTTAGCAGAGGAGCCAAGATAGAAAAGTCAAAAATACAGAAATAGATTACAAATTCTCCAGGACAATGCAAGACCATAAGCTTACGTTCATTTTCACCTTCTCAGAGAATAAAAATACTGCTGCTGGAAGCTTCTGAAAATTACAAAGATTAGGTTTTTATGACTGTCATGCTTACATCAAAAATGATCAATGCATACATCAAATCTGTGACTTTAACCTGTGCAGCTGGTGTAGAGCCTATGAAACTGTATAAGTGTTCAAAAGAACCGTAACAATATTTAAATGGTTAAGATGACGATGTTGAAAGTGTTCATTTCATACCTACATTGTAACTAATTCATACTCATTGTGTGCTTATGTATTTTCAGTGAGACAGTAAAAAAGACCAGCCTTGAGGCTAATAACTAACTAACTGTACTACCAGCATAAGGAGTAGCACTGGACATTGCGTGGTCAACACCACCCTCCTGATGGAACCACTGAAATGCAAATCTTTGCGGAGCTGTGATAAGAGGCTATAGCTAATAAATGTAGCTGTTAGCTAACACATACTTTTGTAAGCTAACAGCTAACTTATGAAGAACAAAATACCTAATAAATCAAAATATGCTAATGCTACTCAAGTTCAATGTAAATGTCAGTCACATGGTAAGACCGGCAATACCTGTAAATTTGGCTGCACCCTCAAATACGTCTTTCACTAATAGGCTATCAAGGCTATTTAAGATTGTTAACTGTAGTACCATTTTAAAAATGACCAGCAGCCCATATATGAAGAGCGAATCTGACTAATCAGTGATTTACTCACTACTAGAGCCACCAACTATAGACCTTACGCTCTTAGCTTCAAAATTCACCCCTATCTGTTTTATTTAACTCCCCAGTGTCACAGCAACATTAATGACATCACTGTTTGTTTCACACTTACTAATAAAAGTAGGTATGCCAGCTCAGCAGGGGTCTTAGGACACACGTAAATCCAACCTACTAAACCTACTGTTAATGCCCTACAATCCACCTAGAGGGCGCTCGTGAGTTAGTCTTCAGTGAATAGAGCCAAATGGCAGACTGAAGTATCTAAGCTTGCTCCTGCCACGGGGGAAAAAAAATCTTTTTTTGTTATCCAGAAGTCCAAATTTGGGGTTATTTCCTCAAAATTTCAACTTTAAAATTACAAATTTCAAATTATTTTCCGAGAAGATACTAAGTCAAAATTTAACTATATTTTAACTATATTCAATTTTTGGTGGATGCACTAGTATGTGTATGTCGTTTTGTGATCAAAATTAGCAAGACACAAGACACTTCTTCTTTATTTGTTATCTAAAGGGTGTCTTTAAAACATAGAACTTCATGAAACAGTGAGATTTACTTATATAGTAACACCATGCATCTTTATATCCAATGGGCCTGTGAATGAATGTCTTTTTTTCTTCTTCTGTGTGTTTTGTCAGTGTATGATGCTTTTGGGAAAGTGGGTAGCAATGTTGTAGGAGGTAACACCAACCAGCCTGGTTTGCTGCAGCAGTGCCGCTCTGCTCACGGCCCCAGCTTTTCTGGACAGTACTGCCAGGTGTTCCTTCGGCAGGTAACAACTAACACAATAAAAAGTCAAGACAACCAATAGATATTAGATGAAAGTAAGCATACTTTAAACTAAGTTTTCTTCTTAAACAGGGAAGAGTCCAGTACTTTGTCGGTATTTGTGTACCTGACTCCTGTGAGAAAGATGACGTGCAAACATTGGTGCTTTACGGTCAGTGATTTAAAAATGGATTTATGCGGTATCATCTATACAACACAATATCGCTTCTTTCTTCTTTTTTTAAACGTGACTAATTTTCACTTTTCGACAGACCAGCTTCAGTTTAATCAGATGTCCCTCATTCCTCCTTTACCTTCCATCCTGGTCAATCAGTCCACTCAGGAGATGATCATGACTCACTGTTTGTCCAGCAAAATTGCCCCTGATACATCTGATATCACCTGCCTGTCAGTATACGATTACACTGCTCTCACTTTCTTTACTGGTTTATCTGCATATGCACTTCCATTAGGGTTACCTGTGCAGCAAAGATGAGCATCTCTTGATATGTCCAGGCCTTTAGATCAGGACATCTTGTTTTTGTCTTGTCCAACTTTATTTTCTCCTGCAGGTTTGTCTGTTGTGTAATGGTAGCAATCCCTCTCGGAGCCACCCTGTTAACAGCTATGATAAGGTGGCAGTGGAAAAGAAAGGTCGAACCTACATTAGAGTCTTCCTGCTTAAATGCTGCGCTCAACCTTTACGGGACCCTGAAGACCAGCAGCTCATCTAACAGTGAAACTAATAGCTGGAGTTCAGAAGAAAGTAGTAAGTGCAAAGTGCATCATCTAGATTTACTGAGGAGTAGTACTGCATATCGCACATATTATGGTTACTATCTTCAGTAACCAAATAATACGATTATGTGAGCTGCAGTTATTACAGATGTATTTATATTGAGACAATACTGACCTTGTATAATATTGGTTTTGGCAGATAGCAACCACCCCACACGAACATGCGCTCTTCAAAGCCGTTTGTATGGCTGCCTTCAAGCAATCTCTATACAGAAGACCACCCAGGGCATATTTAGCACCTCCACATCAATTCCAGTCGGAGGCTACGCCTCACTGAATGGCATCCGTGTTCTTAGCCTGTTATGGATCATATGTGGCCACTCTGCACAGTTCCCTGTAATCAACAGCTTGGGTATGACAGTACATTGATGGTGTCATTACTCCATAACACACATATACTTTCACTTGTGTTTATAAGACCTGTGTTGCAGATAATTACAAAGACTGGAGGAAAACTGTTGAAAGCAGCCCTTTCTATGTGCTAACCATAAGTGGACCTGTTTTCATGGCTGTCGATACCTTCTTACTGCTGGGGTGAGACTGGAACAATTTCAGATTGACAGTGTAAATATATATTTTTAATTATTTTATTGCCAGCTTAAGAAATTTGATGTTTTAGGGGTCTGCTTAGTGCCAGGTCCCTGCTGGGCTCTATCAACAAGGCTGAAGACAAACTGAGCCTCAGCCTGGTTGGGAACTATCTCTTAAAGCGGATTACAAGGTGTTGTATTTTGATCAGTTAACCAAATTAATTTGTGTCTGCGTCACTCTATTTTTACACTCAAGTAAAAGAGGCCTTCTGCATGTGTTATTCGTTTTTTAAATTGCTGTTCTCTGTCCTCTTTGCAGGATTCAGCCGCTGCATCTGTTCATTATGTGTCTAACCATTGGCCTTATCTCTCTGGTCAAGTGGGGACCCTACTGGTTCCCATTTATAGACACAGTGATGGATTGTAAGACATACTGGTGGGCTAACTTACTATTGATCAGTAATCTGCTCCCAGTCCATGAGATAGTAAGTTTAACTTATAATTTAGTCCTACTTTGGGTATTTTAGAACAGATTTATTTACCTGTTCTTACCCTTTTATCTTCATATCCCTGTGCAGTGTATTCCTTGGACGTGGTACCTGTCTCTAGACTTCCAGTGTTATGCAACCACTCCTCTCTTGGTTTATTTATACAGACTGTATGTTCACATCCTTTAATATAATTCTGAAATACTGTTAAAGTGATTTCTCCATTCTTGACCTAGAGCATCACTAGGAGCCGTATACATTTTTATTAACTCTGTGGTTGTAATCCTATCCCCTCCATGTTTTATTTGTCAGAAATAGGAGTGTGTTTATGGTTGTGGCAGGTGGCCTCCTCCTGATGACTATTGTGGCCAGTGCTATTATGACTGCACACCTGCAGCTACCAGTCTTTCAGCCATCTACAATGTAAGATTCAATGCAAAACAGTGTAGGAGCCAAAAAGCATAAACTGTTTGGTGAAATGAATGTCAAGGGTTTTTGTTTCAGTGTTTCCTTTTTCTACAATGCAAAAACATAATTGAGGCTGTCTACCAACTATGCATCTCTTCTTATGATTTCCCAGAAAATGAACTTGTTTATTTTGCAGGACATCTGAGAATTATGTTTTGTATTACTATGTGAAACCCTACACGAGATACGGGCCATTTCTAATAGGGATCTTGACCGGAATATATCTGACAACAAAGAAAAATCCACTGTTAAAGCAATGGGTGAGAGCATTTTGACAGGCTTCAATCCCAGACCGTGGCATAGTCTTTTCTGAGAATTTAAAAACAGCATGTGCCTTTTGGTTTATAGCCGAGCCAGAATTTGAACATTTGCCACCACACTTATGTGCTTATCATGTCTGTTGTTTCAGTGGCAGGCAGCACTTGGTTGGCTCTGTTGTCTGTCACTTTTGGCTCTTTTGGTTGGATTGCCCTACATCCTGAAGGAGACGCCAGCCAATCCATCTGTGCCACATGCCCTGTATCAAGGGCTGCATAGACCACTCTGGGCACTGGCTGTGACCTGGATTATACTGGCCTGTGAGGAAGGCTATGGAGGTAAACCAGGTGTTGGGATGAACTAAATCCCATATCTTTACATTAACAGTAATAACAATATATGAAAGCACATAGTACGTTAAAGGAAATTGAGTCTGTATGTTCTTATTTGTATATGTCTTTATATTTTCTTGTTTTTTTATCACTCCAGGCTTTATCAAGAGGTTCTTATCCTTGACTTTCTGGGTTCCTCTTTCCAATATCAGCTTCGCCTGCTATCTCATACACCCTGTCTTCATCATCCTCCACATTGGCTTTCAAGAGACCCCAATCCATTACACAGACATCAATTTTGTGAGTATTTCATGTTGCACGTTCTATTTTAGTGTGCTTATTTCAAATGATTTGGCACGGTTCTTCATAACATCAGACTTTTCTCCTCTGCTCAGATGTACCTGTTCCTTGGCCACCTGGTGCTGACATTGGCAGTGAGCTACATGCTCACTGTGTTAGTTGAGAAGCCCTACATGCTCCCAAAATAGAGCAGGGCATTGGACGTGCCCAGCTATTAACATCTTTAATAACTACCCTCATTATCTTTGTTTATGCATTGTGATCTTTAACACTGCTTTTATTTATAGCTGCTTTTGTAGCTAACGAAGCAATTTAATTAAAAACTTGGAAGTATGCTTTTACAGTGTGTGTGTGTGTGTGCTGAGGTTATTATCTGACACAGTAAACACAATTAACATATCTGACAAGTCGCCATGGGTTGATGGAGAAAACATCCTGCAGGGTCACATGACATTTTCTTGACTACATTTTTATTGCCTCATACATCCATGTTCTTAATGCCTTGCAGATACCACACAAGAAAAAGATAATTTGTCACCATGTGTTAGCGTAAGGTGCAGACATTTTGAGCAACCCCGCATTTCTTCATATTATTTCAGGAAAATGGGAAATATGTGCAGTGATTTACTGAAGCATGCCAACATAGATGGAAATACAGTAAATAAGGCAAGAACAGAGTTCAAATTCTGAGAAACTGACAAAAAGTTTACGTTTAGTATGACCACCTTTAAGCCCAAACTCTCTTTCTTGAAGTAGTCTTTGGGAGTAGTTCTCCAGGCATCTTGAAGGACATCTTTAAATGTTGGCATCCTTTTATTCTGATCTCGGTCAACATGATCCCACACTGCTTCATCAATGTTGCTGTTTTAGTCATGTCTATGTGCCACTGATTGATTGAAATCCCAAACCATGACAGAGACAGCACTGTGTTTATGGCTGTAGATACTGACTGGTCTTCCTGTCTTCTCTGTACATATTGACAATGATTTGAACCAAAACTTTCAAATTGGGATTCATCACTCCATTACACCCGTTCCCATTGATTTCCAGTCCAGATCTTTTGTAATTTGGGATACCTTAACCATTTCTCCCTGTTTACCCTTCTTAAGAATGGCTTTTTGACAGCTACCCGTCTACTGAGACCATTTTTTGGGGGGCAAACAGTAGATAGATCAGCTGAAGGACCAAATGTATGTCTCAGACCTTGTGTCAAGTCTTTGTTTCCTATTTCTTAAGTGCATGACTTTCAGACATTTTTCATTTGTTGTAGATAGTTGGGCTGCCACTTCGTCTTTTGTCCGGTTTCCTCAAATTTTCAAAGAACGCACGTTCTTTGGGAATCCCTTTGTTGCAAAAAAAAAACAAAAAAACAAACAAACTATTATCTTTGGTATTTTTCATAGATTTAATGGAGGAAACTGGGTTAAAAAAAATCATGTTCTTTGTAACAGGCTGCCAATATCAAAATGTTTGAAGATATAATTTGAAATTGGTTGTTTGCTAAGCTATGTGTGGACACAACACTGGTTCATCCCTTTAGGTCGATCGCTTTTTTATGCTTGAGTGATTCATACCCATATGGAAAAGATATATATAAATCTTATAAAGTTTGTATCTGTCTTGTATGAAACTTGTATGAAAAGCCTACAAGAGTGAAAACACATATAAGATCCCTTGAAAAATTATATAATGAAACTTGTATGTTTTGGATACTTACTAAAAAAAAATATGAAAGTAATGAGAAAGTGGCCACTTTCATGAGTAAATCATATATGTTTTTACTATTTCTTTTCCATATGGGATAGGTCAACGTGAAGAGCATATTAAGAGATTTTTTTTTCTAGCAGGAGAAAAAAAAGGAAGAAAACCTAAAACATGAGTAGTCATTTCAACACCAGTGCACTGATAATGAGAGAAAAAGTTGCCAATGTATAAAGAAAAGCTTTGAAAGCCTGGAGAACTAGTGCTCATGATAGTCTGGCCTTGGAAGCAAAATATAAAGAAATGAGCAATGGCTCAGGACTGTTGCATAGTAATGTAGGTATTCAAGCCCATTAGCCCTTTAAGAAAACCGAGCTCTGACTGTACATAGCCAGCCTGTAAGCAAGGTACAGATGTGGTTGTGATTATAGTTATATACCTAAAACAACTACTACATC